CATATGCTTAGATTGCGCCATTCTCGGATTTAGAACGGGCGCATCGTATGATTTCACTTGTATAGCGGCGGCCTTTAAGCAACGCCTTTTATGCAAGTACTTTCACGTGTTCGACATATTTTATTACGACGACTCGTCGGCGTCGCAAGGACCATCTCTTGAATCTCGTGAGTGGTGGTGTCGCGGTTACTATACCGTCAGATATATCGCGCGGAAGAACGACTTTCCATTCCGGACATTAATTAGCGAGCGACTTGGACGGATATAGGCGGATGTTGATTTATTCTGCGTGAGAATAGATAAGCGGCGACGGTATTACAATGAATGAGCTTCTCTATAGAGGGTGATCGGAATAAGATAAAAATCTGATTTTAAGTAGAAGCACTTCATTATTATTTCAATTGACAATACATTCGTTTATTTCAGTAGAATTTTGTATTAGGTATATTTAATTGTCACATTAATAAATCTAATGCAATTTCAATCTGTGGCGCTTTTATACGCATGACACATAGAGCACACTCACCACTCGGTGTAAACAATATTCCTTTTAAGTATACTTAAGTAAACGATCATTAAGGTCAGTGCACACGGACAATACCTATAGGCGTTTATAATTACAAAGAATATACCGCAAATTTAATGTTCGCACGCCAAGGTGCAATTTTGAATTTATCGTACCTTGTTAAAATTAATAAGTGACAAATTAGGTAATGTTTATTACATGTATATTGTTATTAATTAGTTAAAAAAGGGAGATAGAGATGGATCTTTGAAAAGATCTTTTAAATCTGATATAACGTGATAATATGATAATAAGAACTCTCATAAACAAGTTGTCCGAATTACAGGCTCAAGAGCTGCGGCTAGTGAGACCTCAAGAGCGACGGCGACCCGTGTTCGTCAAACCGTTGCGACCCGTGAGACCGTCTTTTCCGAACAGGCGGAACGTTTACACAGGTCAGTTTTTCTAACGGTAATCGACAATCGTGAATTTATCGCGCTGGATAAAAGTGGCACGGGCCGAGACAGATCGTTGATGATTTCCGCAGGTTTACCGAGGCCGCCCGTCATGCGGCCGTCTAAACGGCCGAGCGAGCCGAAGAGGAGACCCACGGAAAACGAATGCACTTTCTTCACAAAGACGGTGTGTCTCGAGGCCAGCGATTATCCGCAGTGAGTCTGCCCTGAACTTTCGTTTCGGCATTGAATTAATGACGAATATTGTTACGCGGCAATTTGCATACGGCCGAGATTAAAATCTCCCGGTCCGTCTTAATTGGCATGCCGGCGGTTTTCACTTTCCGCATCTCTCCCCTCTTCACGAGAGTATTATTAAAATAACGGTGATCGAATTGTAAAGATAAATAAAGCATTGACCGTGTACGACAACACTTAATTGGTAGAGTACAGTCAAAGTGTATTATTACAGAATTCTGAAGATTGTTTTTCAAATTTGTTAAATTACCTCTTTGCAAATTATTTATTTGCATTAACTGACTTATTACAGAGCTATTGTATTGAGCAATTGCAATATCAATTTGTTAGCATTTCTTGTTAAATTTCTCTAAAATTTTCATTACTTGAGTTTACATTATTCTTAGTCTTTCGAATAAGTAGCGAAATGCATAAAAGAAATTTTCCACGTTGGAGAAAATATCGGTATTATTCGCTTTCGCGAAAAAGCATTAATAACGGTCTTAACTTTCTAGCGAGGCGATAATAAGAAGTTTAAGGTCCAATAAGGAAATGGTATCCGCATTGTTGACCGATTACAAGGCGCAAGACGGAAGCGCGGAAGAAAAATTGCCGAGCGCCCTACCGTTGGAAAATAAATATGAGAACAGATACGAGAGCAATGAGATTAAAAGGTATATAAAATACCGGTGTTTCTTCTCATCTCTTGAAAACTACCAAATTTTATATTAACATATTTTAATTTTAAATTTCTATTGATTTTAAATATAGAAAATAATGCGCGTGAATAATTTGAATCTAAAAATTATTTCCTTGCACGTTTTATATTTTAAATTTGGTTAACATAAATTATAAATAAAAGTGATAAAGAGTGATTAAGATAAAAAATTATTTTTACTACTTATTGCATATTTTTGCTTTCAGACGATTTGACAATCCCTTCGACAACGTGGAGGAGGGTTTCACTTGTCCATCAACTGTCAAATATGCTCGCCCGCAATTAGCGAGAGCTGCTTCCGGAGTATGGAAATATATAATAAATACAGGTGAACACACCCAGACGATACGACTGGAGAAATGTTCGTAAGTATGACAACCAATACTTATTTTATTCAAAGAAGGGAGAGCAATTTATTTGGGCATTAATTATCAATTTACGTAATATCCCATTTGAACAGGCTAAATGAAGGCTATCTGATCAGAGAATATTAAGAATATATATTTTGTAAATTATTATCTTAAAATATAACCTGCAATAAAGAATTATGAAACATTAATTACGAATTAAAGTTAATGTATACATATGATTTCTCTTTATGATGATATACTAAAGAAAAAGATACATAAAAAAGATATTTTATAATAATAAATTATTTTATTTTTAATGTATATTTTTCTATCATTTAATAATATTAAATAACATTTTAATAACATTTAATGTTACTTTCATAGCAATCCACAGTCAAGTTGCTCGTTTATCTCCGAAAACTATCGTTCCTCCTGCGTGCAAGTCTACAACTATCACAGACTGCTGACTTGGGACCAGAAACTGGGACTACACATGGACATATTCAAAGTTCCGACCTGCTGCAGCTGCCACGTGCACGGCTACGCCGAGATTTTCCCACCGCATCAGAAGGATCCCCCAACTAAGCCCAAGGAGACGTTTCCGGGCGCGGATTTCGCGACGATCAACGATCAGAAGGACGATTTTCAGGATCTCAACAAGCCCGTCGTCCTCAATCACATTGC